CAAACAAAAAAACAACCAGCACAGAACAGAATCCATTTCCTCTTCAGACTGCTGTCACACATTATCTACTGCACTCTGATGTCACTCTGGAAGCTGTCCTGCTGGTTCAGGAGGAGGAGGATGAAGTAGTTCATTCTCAACTGTCAGAGTGACATCTGGGATCCTTGTGGAGTCTTGGTGACAGCTGTCTGTTTTTAGGTCATTTCTGTCTCTTTGTTTATCAGCAGGAGATTCAGAGTTCAGAAATCTCTCAGACATTTCAATCTGTGGTTCAGTGGTGGGGCAATATGAGTCCTGGCTACGTTGTTTATATTTTCTGTAGATCAAATAACCAACAACAGCAACAAATGGAAGACCGACTATCAGTCCAACAGATCCACTCTTCTCTCCTCCTGCCTTCTTCCCTCCGTCCTCTGTGTCTCCTCCTGTCTGACCTGCAGGTGAGAAACAGGTGTGAGGTGTCAGCTGTCAGGTAGGTGATGAGTGAAGAACAGAACAGAATCCATTTCCTCTTCAAACTGCTGTCAGACATTATCTACTGCACTCTGATCACATCACTCAGACCAGCTGCTTTCTACAAAGTCTCATCAACAACATCTTTAGAAACAAACATCAACAACCAGGAAGCAGCTTCACCTCTGATCACACACACACTCAACTCTACTCACTCACCTGGAGGATCAACATGCAAGTGGATGATGCTGATGGGGTCACCACTCAGATTTGCTCTTTTTCTACGATTATTTCCTGTCTTTACACGACACTCGTATGTTCCAGTGTCATTAATCGTCACATTCTTCAGAATCACAGACACGTCTCCATCCTTCATCTGTCTGTCCTGCAGATCCACCTGGTTCTTAAAAGATGGATGCTGGTTAAAGTGCCCGTCCCGGTACAAAAGCACATATTCATCCCCCAGGTCAGCTCTGCTCCACTCTACAGCTATGATGTTGTTGTTTGGAGCTCGACATGGCAAAATGATGTTCTGTCCAGACTCAGCTGTGATGATTTTCTGGTCTGAAAGAGGAAACAACACAGAGCAGATATTTCTATGATATATTTCTGGAGATTTGGGGAGATTTTCATACAGCTGTTAGAAAAGAGCCAATCAATCAGAAGTAGGAATTATGAGCCAATTATGGTGGTGCGTTAATGCACAGTGGACGTTTGGGACAATCTCAATTACTGGTTATTGTTGGGTCTGTGTTTCCACAAGCCTCGCTAATTCTAGAGACTTATTCATCATGAAGAAAACAAGACAGTCGATCGATCGATTATTTGCGCAAGGGAGGCCTCGTCTGTGTCCACCACGAAAATGACCTCCAGATCTGACCTCCTCCTGCTGCCTTTTATTGAGAGACAGTTCACACAAAACACGTCAGAACAAAGCCACGCCCAGACAAGGCATTGTATGTATATGTGTGAACTTCTGTATCTAAGTAAGAATGTGTGTGTGTGTGTGTGTGTCAGACCTCCTGCTGACCAAAGGTCTAAACGCAGGAAGCTTACATCAAAAGCACAAGGATGTGTCTGTGATAAAAGACTACAGCCCCCCACCTAGAACCTCGAGAATCTGGGGGGAAGGACAGTGGAATTTCTTTCATCAGAGTTAAAACAATGTACAAATGGTAAACATAAAAATGACAAACATTTAACAATTCACTCTAACAGTTATGGTAATAAAGATGTCGTCGAGTACTTATTGGAGGAGCAAACAAGGAGGAACCGCTTACATGTCAACTTGTCACACAAGATTCAAGTGTAACATTCTTAATCCTTCTGGTAAAAAAAAAATCTCATTGAGATTAAAAATTGCATTTCAAAGAGAGACCTTCATGATCAAAATAAAAATAATGAAAAATAATAAAATGTACATAAAAATCTATTAGGTTTTAATGAATGAAACGTGTAGAAAAACACAAAAGATCAACATGTAAAATAAATAAAATAAAACAAAAGCCTTACGATAAAGATGAGACTGAAGTAGTGATGCAAACGAAGACAAGTTGCACAGTTGAGCTCTAAGAGCAAACGTTCGATCGCTGTGCGTCTTTACGCGTGAGGAACAGTGAACAGGTTTCTGTCTGCAGGATCTGGGGATAGACGCGGTGGCTGTTAAGGGAACAGCAGCTCAGGTACAATATTCTGGAGCCAGACCATGAAGGACTTTAAAAGTGATAAATAAAACCTTAAAGTCAGACTGCCTTCTTTAAGTTACCTCAGCATTATTGAGAGATATTACTTTGTTTCGATCAGTCAGGTATAAGTTCAGGTCTGAGGCTCGGCTGATGTCAGAGCTCACTTTCAGCAGCGCAAACCAGGACGCAGACGCACAGCACGCCCCGGAAAAGTGACGCAGGTTTAAGATGTTTCATTCCTGCTAACAGTGAACCAGAAGAACCGTCTACTTCATGCCTTTTCATCCACATTTAGTCACGAAATCCCGAATAACGTTGAGGAAAGCCTTATTTTAAGCTTTGGCGTGGGTGGCTTCAGCTTCTGACAGTAAGCTGAAAACTCTTTTGCATTTTTCATATAAGATTTTAGCATTTTAAATACTGGTTTTAATGTGATTCAACTCATATTTGGCTTTCTGTGGGTTCACACCGCAGACATAAACACGAATCTCACATTTTCTTTTGTTTTTTTGTTTATTTCTTTGGGGTTTTTTTGTTTTTCTCGAGACAAATTTCCTTCCTTTTTTTTTCCAGTGATGACGCTTTTTAAATCTGACTCGTCTTATATACGGGCTGACTCGTGTCCGTACATAAACTAAATTTCACCTTTAAACGGGGGGAAAATCCGCAATTTGGGGTTGAAGGGCTTGGTGGAGCCGTTTACATCACGCGCAACCGTTCACATTTTGACCCGATTTTTTTGCATTACTTTACAGAAAATGAAAAATAATACAACTGAGAAGTGAAAATTAAATCATAACTGACATTTTACGTCTTACGTTAAGACAAAAAACAAACCAACCAACATGAAAACCCAAAGTTTGAAAAAGGTTTGCGTTCATCAGCGATACTCTGGTGCAGTGTTGAGTGGTTGAGTGATGTGGAGCTGTGCGCATCGTTGCTCACAGTGTGAAGAAACGCAGAGCTCACCTTCAGCAGCGCAAATCAGGACGCAGGCGCAGAGCACGGCCCAGTACAATGAAGCGGCTGTAAATGTTTCCATTGTGGCTGAAAGCAGATGAGGAGAGGTGTCGCCTCCATGCGTTTTACCAACCAAATTTCGATCAACGTTACAGAGTCGGCAAATTCTCGGCTTTGACTTCGGAGTGGAAATAATGGTTTGTCTGTGAGGGTACGCTGAAAAGTACTAAGTACTGATTCATGTACTTGCTATAAATATTTATTTTAGTATAAATGACGTTCAGAAGTTTGAACTTTTAAAAGTTAATTTAAAAGAAATAAATGCAAAATGATTGAAACGTTTCTGCAAAACACAAAAACGATAAAAAACGAAATGTGAAAATCGTCACTTCATCCTTCTGCATTTTTTTTTCTTGAATTCACAGATTCTTTGTTTGGATGGGAGGTTGATTATTTTATATTAGTCACATTTTTCAATGGTAAAGTGAATGTATTTGAGGAATACATCCTAAAGAGATTTGTATTTGGGATAACTTGAAATGCAGCTGGGGTAGACTTCATCTCCCTGTGAACCTGAGCTGGACGTGCAGAAGCAAATGAAGAGGGGACTTGAAATATCTCTTCAGTAATTTATGTGAATATGAGGAGTACCTGAGCCACAGTTAGTTTCTGTTGTACAGACGTGATTATAAAAGCTGTTGTTCTGCTCTGTGTTCCCTCTGGACTCCTGTTGAATCATCAAACAGCACACAGCTCACCCTCCTGAGCTTTGCTCCAAGCAACCGACAGTGGAAACTAGAGGGATCACTGATCCTCCTCCTTAACCACAGTGCACTTTATGAAAGCAGTCTTAAATGTCTGTTTGATAAGCTTTTATCAATCAGGGACAATCAGACTCATTGGTTCTGTGTTCACTTTTAAATCACAAAGATTAAACAAAATATAAGCTCTTTGCTGTTATTGTTAACCTGTTATTGTGTGCCTGGGAATCAAAGATGTGATCTGGCTCTAATTGGCTGCTCTTGGCCTTTGGCTGTCATTAGAGGCACCAAAATGAAGCTGCTGTTACAGATTTCAGCTGTTACACTTCTTCCTGCGATCTGTCACTAAGTCATTGTTGAGTCAGTTTAACTAACTTTTGCAGGATGTCACAGGTTGTTTTTAAGTGTTTCAAAAATACTTTGTTTTTCTTTTTGTTCTCTCATTTTTAAAACTTGTATTTTTTTGATTTTGAAATCCAAAAATCACATATTGTGGTAATGCAGAGTTAGAGGTAGAGGTAGAGGACTGGCTGAGGTGACCTAATTCTCTGCTTCTAAATTCAGACAAAACTGAGGTTATTGTAGTCTGTGCTAAAACTCAGATACATACTTTTTATGGCATTAACTTGGCATGTAGTAAACGAGTATGGAGGTGCAATCACATTTCCGGTCCTGCATAGGTCAAACACAGCTAGATATAAAAGAAAAAAGAAGCAGTTTCCTGCTCGTCAGTGTGTTACACAACTAAACCTATGACCACACTGTTCATCGCTTTTCTCTGCAGTCTTGTTAAATGTTAAATGTTAAACTCAAACTGCTGACCTCATTGTTTACCTCCCCATGACTCTCTTGCTTTAACCTCTATTAAAAAAATTCTGATCTTCCGCTTACAGGAAGTGACTTCATCATCTCCATGGCAGCAGAACCACCCAAGCACACTGAGCAGAGATTGGCTGAGGGGTGCTGTAACTGCTCAGCATCACTTTTGAGCTGCACAGACTCAGAGTCACAGAGTTCATGTTCAGTCAGCTGGGTGTAACTTGAGCTTTATTCACTGAATTTAAATGAATCCTGCCTTGTTCCATTTTAGTGAATTCTGAAAGGAATACAGCTCTGAGCTTCAAGGTCTCTTAATCTTTCCTTCTTGGAAACATGAACTTCCAGTTAGTATCTGCAGTGAAGTGTAGTGATGGATTATCTTTAGTTTAGAAGAGCACATAATGTCGAAGCCTCCACAGGAACAGAGGGAGAGACTTTAGGGATCACACTGGAACTGTTTTTACAGCATCAACCAAGAAGATCAAACTTTTCTGCTACAGAAACTGTTTAGTTTTAATCCTTCAAACATTTCACATTTGCTAACATGGATTTTTTTTTCTGTATTAAGTTAAAGTTAGTAATGGTCTATAAATCATCACAGTACAGTTGGTCTATTTTCCACCTCGTGGGTAACAAACGCAAACACCTGTGTGGTCGTTCAGGTTCAAGTTTCTGATCCTCAATCTTAGTGTCATGTGCCTGCCTAGTCAGCCCATCATGGCAACAAATGTTTTGGTTTTGTCTCTCTCTCCTCTCTCTTGCTCCTGTCACTCTGCCTGCTCAGACTGAGGTCCCGCCCTTGCCTCACGCACCTGCAGCTGATCACCGGTGATTCCTCACTATTGTTTGCTGGCTCTTCATAAGGCAGGGGCGCGGGCTACAGGTCGCTGGAATATTGAGTAACTCAAGTTAGTGTTTGCCCAGCTCTGCAGAAAGCTGTCATTTGTTGTGTTTGCTTTGGAGTAATTCTAGTCTCTGTATGTAGACTTCCCTGATCCCTCTCATACCCTCACCCCTGAGCGTGAGTATGGCTCATTGCATGGAGTTTTGTGTGGGAGGGATACCCTGTGAAGAGCGAGAGGAGTGGAGCATGTGTGAAGATCCTGTTGCTCCGTGACCCTGTGGACCCTTGGAACTTTTTCCCCCACGTGTATCTAGTGCACCCAGTGTGGATTAATAAAAGACTGTTTAATTGTATCTCTCAGTCTGCACCTGAGTCCTTCTCGATTGCCTTGACACTTAGCCAGTTTGAATCTACTTTAGCATCTATATTTTAAATAATTTGGAGTTCACATTCCACTCACCGTGAGAGATGTTGACATAAACGTGGAGCAACAAGCAGCTCAAACAATGATGCACATTATTAGCAGTAATTTTAATATAGGAGACACTAACAGTATCTCCCATATTATACATGACACATGCTGCTGCTTTGTGAAAACTTGTTTATGTGGGAAATGCACATGATTAATAACATGCCACCCTGAAAACAAGGGTCAGGAAAGGTTGCATGGTTTTAGTTAAGAAGCAGTTTTAAGAAGTTTTCAACAGGGGACAGCAGATCATCTCTTTAGTTCCAACACTGAGAGAGATAGAGATTCACTATTTAAGTTCTGTGTAGAGCAGGGGTCCCCAATCCCAGTCCACGGGGCCGGTGTCCCTGCAGGTTCTAGATCTCACCCTGGGTCAACACACCTGAATCACATGATTAGTTCATTACCAGGCCTCTGGAGAACTTCAAGACGGTTATTTGTCTATTTAAATCAGCTGTGATGGATCAAGGACACATCTAAAACCTGCAAGGACACCGGCCCTCATGGACTGGGATTCGGGACCCCTGGTGTAGAGTCTAACCCAGTCAGAGTAACAGACACTGTAAAATGAGGTTGAAGGCTCTGAAAGCTGTTTTTTTTTCTTGTAGCTACAACTTTGAAACTGACACACAGAGTCATCAATTCTGGACAAAAACAACATAGGAAAAGCACAACACGTCTCCACACTGCAAATCTATTCCTGAGTGTCCCTCTGTGGTTAGTCAAACCCTTTTTTAAAAGTTTTTTTTGCTTGTTATTTTTATTTTGCTGTTTATTCTTTTTATTTTTAGTATATGATGAGAAGGCAAAAAATGAAATGGCTGCTCAATTCTTAATGTCAGAAAAATGAATAATAAAAATAAATATTATAGAATTTATTTATTGTTTGCATTTTAAGCCACTTAACAGTGACCTCTGAATTATTATAGTGTAAAAAGCCACCACAAACAAGGGAAGAACTGTATGCTAGCTACACATAGAAGACAATTTAGAAACTGAACCATGTTTTAATTGTACCTTTGCATTTTTTTGTTGTTTTTTTTCTATTAACAGCCTGCAAAAATACACGAACTTTTAGAATGATTTTTACCTGAAGCTAGAAAAATACCCCAAGTAAGATCTCATTGATTGTTTTACACACTTGGTGATTCTCACAGAGCTGTTAGCTAAAATGTTTCACAGCATTTTCTGCAAATCTGAGGAAACTGGATACGCAGAGGACAAACTATCCACAGCAGATGAATAAACAAAAGTCACTTTTTAAAAAAAATTTTTTCATCATGGAGTTAGAAATGATTGAAACATTGGGAATACCAACACCAAAAAGGATGTTTCTTCTCAAGATTCAAAGTTCAGTATTCAAAAAAATTGCAGAAAATGAAGAAGAAAGTATAATCTCTAAATTAAAAAGTTCTAAAGCAAGGGATGAGTACCAATTTCCTGAAGCATTATAAATCGTGTCTTTTGGTGCCTGTGACCCATCAATCACACACGTAGTCATTCCTCTGAGTTGGAAGGTGGAAAAAGTTACGGTACACCAATTTATAAGATAAGATAAGATAAGATAACCTTTATTAGTCCCACACGTGGGAAATTTGTTTTGTCACAGCAGGAAGTGGATGGTGCAAAAGTTAGAATACAATAAGAATAAATACAGTACACAACTGTACAGAATAGAATAAAATAAAATACTATATACAGTAGAATAAAATAGAATAAAATATACAATAAGATAAAAATAGAATAAAAATGCTATATACAACTGAGTAAAAATACAAC